ACGTTGGAGATCACGTGGCCGTCTCACGTGCGTTTGGCAACGTTGAGTACGACAGCGGCAAGAAAGTCGACGGTATCATCTGTGAGCCCGAAGTCTTCAAGATCGAGGAGGATGACGAGGTCGACTTTCTCATCTTGGCGTCCGGTGGCATCCGGGATCCGCGTAAGGACCAGTTTGCTGTAATGCACGCAAGGAAGCGCTGCGAACCACTGAGCAGCCAGAGCATACTGCGAAAGCTGTCCTTGAGCTGACAATGCTGCCGCCATTGTTGTGGTCTTTAAGTTTCCCCCTTGCCGAAGCGCATTGCGAGGCCACGTGCGACTCTCCCAGGCTTGGACGAGCCTCCGCTGTAGGTCCGAGACGGACATCCAATTAGATGCACCCGACATTGATTCTGAAGAGGACTTTGAAGCCAGTCGTTAGAAATGTGTTTGCTGAAGAGAGCAGCTGCAGTCAACATTAGTTGTGATATTGGTTGTTCCTCATGTTCTGATAGCCTTCCAGCTACGAAGCGACTATATGCACTTGCCTCAGCACCGTTCTGCTGCAGGTTGCTTATGCCAAATGCCGACTTCGCAGTTCCCAAGAGCATGCGGTCCCATCACGGTGGTCATGTCATGTGTACAAGCATGAAGGCCTGAGCTGCCACATCGAACACCTTATACAAACTGTCCGTTCCCAGCATTGCAACTGCACTGCGTTCCGTGACCTGATATCCTGCCGTTCTGATAGGCAGCAAGTTGCATTTCGCTGAAGCCAAGCTTTTCAGCTCACTTTCTCACTTCACAGGCATGACTCTTGTCATGGGGAGCCTCATGCAGCAAACTTGGCAGCAGATGTCCTCATCAACTCCACAGCAGCAGTCTAAGACCTTGTAGCCTGATACGATCTCTATTGCTATTTGATTCCCGCTGCTTTGTCCTGCGCAGGGCTGCGGGGCCTGCTGCGCTCCTGCGCACGGAAGCCACAAGGCAACAGCGGGCCGGAGAACTCAGAATGGCAGAGCGAGCCAGCGAGCCCCCTCATCATGTCAATGTATCGTGGTGGCACGAAAGGTGGCAACCATACAACAGCACGGGTCGTTCTGTAGCCTCTGTGCCAAAATGATAGTATTGATGACGATGAGCAACGCCACCTTTTCCTTGCAAGCACTGAATATGTTCGCAATGTTTTACTGCCGCATTTCATGCCGGGAGTATGTGATGGTACTACTAGTGTGGGAACTGCGGCAACTGTTGGACAGTCTAGTTCAGACTTTGGGATTCGCAGTTCTGATCTTTAGGGTTTGCTGCCTCTTGCAAATGGTCGGTAGGGAACGCCGAATTGGATCCCTAGTGCCTACATGTCGCCTTCCGCCCGCCTCTAAATTAACCCATCCCTACATTCCCTGCCAAGGCCGACTAACCACCAAATAAGTTTCCGCGTTACATGGCAGAGGTTGGAAAAAGGAATCGAAGGAGCCAGCGTACCAGCTGCGCTATCAGTACTACAGGAATGATTACTTTTATCCTTGTATGACTATTGTATTGGGTACCTCAAAAGACCTCGAAATTATATGGGCAATTTCTTCGGCCGCTACAGTTTGTCCAGTGCCATCAAGTTGGCCCTTGCAAACCTCCAAGGCCACAGGTGGAGCGACGCGCATCCAACGAGGAGCTTCGCAACGCTTCCGAGGACCGGACTCAGGCTGGACTCCAATTTTGCGGGTCCGTACGAATATGGGCTTTTTGTAGGGTTGAGATGGGGTTTGGTAGGGTTATAGAGGGTTTCATTATGTATATGCAGGGTTTAGGGTCTCGGGTTTGCTGTGATGAGGCACTGAAGCAGAT